GTATTACGGTAGTGTTTAATATTTACCAGTTTGTGTACTATTTTGTGATGTATAGAATATGGCCATGCTCAAGTTTGTTTGCTATTTTGTGTTTATAGAGGGGTGAAGCTAAACTTCTGACAGAGGATTGGGATGGAGCTGTGGAAGATCTCAAATCAGCAGCTCAACAATCGCCTCAGGTTAGCGATTATGTTTTATGCCTATAATATGCGATCTATGTATTATGCCCTTCTCACACTTGCAGCTACCGTTTTAGTACTTTAATAAGTAGTTTCTTGGATTAATGCTTGCTGATTATGCAGGAAATGAATATTCGAGAAGCATTGATGAGAGCCGAGAAAGCCTTAAAGATGAGCAAGCGCAAAGACTGGTACAAGATTTTGGGAGTTTCAAAAACCGCGTCCATATCTGAGATTAAACGTGCCTACAAGAAGCTTGCTTTACAGTGGCATCCGGATAAAAATGTTGAGAACAGACAAGAAGCAGAGGACAAGTTCAGAGAAATTGCTGCTGCATACGAGGTCTGTATATCCTACTGAAGTTCCTTTTAATCTTCCCTTTCTGTTGACTGTAACATCAAAATGTTGGACTACTTGTATCCATCTGACTCTAGTATAAATCCTTTTCCAGGTTCTCGGTGACGAAGACAAACGTACGAGGTATGATAGAGGTGAAGATATTGAAGAAATGGGAATGGGTGGTGGTGGCGGCGGTTTCAACCCTTTTGGTGGTGGTGGTGGTGGTGGTGGTGGTGGACAGCAGTTTACATTCACTTTCGAAGGGGGCTTTCCTGGCGGTGGCGGTGGCGGTGGTGGATTTGGAGGAGGCTTTCCTGGAGGATTTGACTTCCAGTTTTGATTATCCCTAAACGACTGTGCCATTCGAAAGGAGCCCCCAGAGCAGTTTTACTAATTGCTGACAGCTTCTCGGTGAGATATGTACTGCGGCCACCCCAAAAAAGTTTGATAGGTTTTACATGGATTTTTCGCCCATTGAGAGTTGCTACGTGGAAATGTCAAGAGTTTCGAACTTTGTATTAACGAAATTTGATGAGACCATTTCTGTATATGTTGCCATGTACGCTTTCGATAATGGTTTCTCATCAGAGTTTGCATGGTTCTTGTTAGAAGGTGAGGGTGAATCTTTTTAGTAAAATTTTTTGATCACAAAAAATATGTTCGTTGATTAAACTGTATTATCAGGTATATTGTTCAAACTACAACAATTCGTTTTTTTTTATTTTTACTTTTGGTTTATAGCAAATCATTATACTTTATCACTCCTTTACGTAGATCGATGTAATGGCACAGAGATATGCAAAAGGATTTGCACTATGGATTTGGAAAAATGTATGTTCGGGCCTCAAGAGAAGTTCTTTGGACGATTCTAGAAAAGAAAGGAGTACGAGTGGCGTATATCTAGCAATAAAGTGTATGTATGATAAAGCAAAGACTATAGTAAGAACAAGGACAAACTGAAAGCTTTCTCATGTTCAAGATGATATTTCTTGATGTATGCTTTTCACAGATGATGTAACGTTGATAGATGAAACGTAGGAGGAAGTAAATTCGAAAGTGTTGGAATCTAAAGGTTTTTCCCTAAGTAGGTCAAAGATAGAATAATTGAGTGCAAGTTCTTTGAGAATGGCGATCCAAATGAGATAGAGGTGAGGATTGGAGATCAGAAAGTACCAAAGAGTGAGCGCTTTCCTTATCTTGAATCTATCTTGCAAATGAATGAAGAATTTGATAAAGATCTCAACCATAGAATACAAGTTGGATTGATGATATAGAAGAGGGCATCGGGTGTGATGTGCGACCAATGTGTATGCCACTGAAGCTCAAGGGAAAAAAATTTATAAGACGGCAATAAAGCTAGCAATGCTTTATGGCACAGAGTGTTAGGCGGTCAAGCATCAACACCTACAAAAATGAGTGTAACAGAGATAAGAATACTTCGTTGGATGTGTGATCACATGAGAAAGGACAAGATTAAGAAAGAGCTATCTGAGGGAAAGTAGGAGTGGTCACAATTGAAGATAGATGGGAGAAAATTGATTAAGGTAGTTTAAACACGTGAACCGAAGACCTATAGGTATTCTGGTTAAAAGATGCGATTATGAAAGACATGCCCAGAGCATACAAGGTATAGGAAGACTTGAAAAGATACTTTAAGAAAATACATAAAGTACTTGGAACTAACGAAAAACTTGACGTAAAACCGAGCACAATAATGTTTTAGGATTCATAAAACCAACCAAATTTAAAGCTCAAATACAAATTACATTAGCTATTGTATTGTGTGCGCGATAGGAATTGCATTTGCTTCTGTGCAACCGATATGAAGTTGTGGATTCTGTCTGTTTGCTCTGACCACTGTGTCTCTTTGGCTGGAGACCGCAAATGATCGAAATCTTATCGATAAAGCAGAGGCATAGGCATTGGTTTGCTCTCGATCCAATCCTTTTCCTCGACCTCTCCAACATGATTGTCTATGTTGGAAATATGCCCTGAAAGTCAATCTTTGGAAGAAACCTTTCAGGACAATGAATTGATGTATATATGACTCTTATACATCGGAAGGCAAAGATACTAATTAGGACTATCTCAATGAACAAAATATGTCCTAAATAGTGAATCCATGGACAATGGATCGATGGAAGAAGTAACCTAATGATGTTAGATTACAGAGACCTTCTTCTCATAACCATCATGTCCAAAAAGGTTCCTGGTCATAAGGATTGTCGGAGGGATACTGACAATCCATAGACCGGTACATACTATGTCCGCTTCAATTGGAAGGATGGAAAGTCTCATCCCATTCGTGTAGCGACACTAAGACAAGCATGTAGGTGCTCATTAAGGGAATGAGTTCACTGAACACAATCGAACGAGAGTACTTGCATGGAGGTCTACTCACATGTCAAGCAAGTAACTCTAATGGTTGGAATAATGTAAGTAATCCTTTGACCTGAGGCATCGTCGTTGTCTTGTGGTTAAGTACTTAATCTTTGATTATGTTAAAGTCATTCCGTTCGCGAGTGTCCAAGGCATCGTTGGGGTTAAGCCACTTAGCCATGAAGGCAAGTGAATGCGCAACAAGGAATCTCTAATCCTCGATAAGAGAGGATGAATACTCTAAGATATGATTCGGGAATCTTCGGCCGAAGTATCGAGCGTAATAAAGGAAAGCGTTCCTATACGTCTCAAATGAATCATATAAGAAGGAATAATCACATTAGGGGTTTGACATTATAAATCCATACCCTAGTAATGTGATTGAGAGTATTGTTTTAGAGAAGGATCGAATTACATTGTAATTCCACCTGAATAGGTTCTCCGAATAACTTCTACATTAGCTTGGGTAGCCATGATATATGGTTAGATGTCACTCATGGCTTGTGAGTTCTTCTAGATGATTAAATGTAGTCATCAAAAGGAAGGTGAATTAAAAGTAAGTTTTAATTCACTAAGTGATTGGATAATCAATTGGATTGGTGCCAATCACCTCACTGCCTTGCTAATTAGAACCTAAAAGGTTGTTCACCAATACACTCTTGTAGTGAGTAACTAATGGATGAAGGAAATAATTAATTGGATTAATTAAGTGTTTTGATTAATTTAGAAAGTCTAAAGAAATCATAAAAGCGATAAAGATCGTTTTGAGCTTAAAGAAACGTTCGGGTTTAATTAGGCCCATTGGGCCAAAACCCATTGGGCTTTTATTCAAGCATTGGATGACTTGAAATAATTAAAAGCCCAAAGCCCAAACCAAACACATATGGCCGCCCACCAAGGGAGAGATAGGTCAAAATGTTGACTTGTTTCTTTTGTCTATAAAAGGAACTTTATAACACAAAGTTCATTAGGGTTTTAATGTGTTCTAAATACAACAAAAGAGAAAAGAAAAACTCTCTCTCTTGAACACAAAGGGCCGGCCACCAAGGGGGTGATTTAACTAATCATCTATACACTCTTTTGGTTATTCCTTCATCTTTCTCATTACAAAGTGGGTGAGGATCTTTAGAGGTTTTCATATCTTTGGAAACTTGAAGAGAACCTAGGAGCACTTACTTTACAAAGTGGAGGAAGCAAGGAGGGAGGCTAGGCTCAAGGAGTTTGAGGAGCAAAGATCTTGAAGGTGGTCCATCCTTGGTCTAAGATCTAGATCAAGAGGTATAAAACTAAACCTCTAGTTTGTTCTTCTTATAAATTTTGTTTTGATGCATCTTATATAAACCTATGCATCTTGAAGGGATTTGCATGACTATAGCTTTGATAAAATGTATGACATGCTTCCGTTGCTTTCGTATATAAATTTTGAATTGTATATGCATGCTAGTCACTAGAAATCCCACATGAATCTCAAAGATTTCCCTTCAGTCTAATGGTCAACAACAACAACAACAAAGTCTTATTCTACTAAGTGGGGTCAGGTATATGAATCATAAAATGTCATTGCGCTCGGCTTTATGTCATGTCTTCCATTAGATCCAAGTAGTCTCAGTCTTTTCTTAGAGTCTCTTTTCAAGTCTTCCTGAGTCTTTCTTTATCCCTTTGGCCCTGAGCCTTTATCTTGTAATCGCATCTTCTAATTGGAGTTGTAGATCTTTATTTCACATGTCTAAACCACCTTAACCAATTTTCTCTCACTTTATCTTCAATTTCAACTACTCCTAATTTACCTTGTATATCCTCATTCTTAATCTTGTTCTTTCTCGTGTGCCCACACATCTAATTTCAATTGTCTGATGGTCACACCGAAAAATTGCTCCCTATGTTTTTTATTTCACTACGTGCTTAAAGGTTTTAACTATGAGCTTGAAAGCAAAGTGGTTTTGAAGTTTCATATTGCACAAAAATCGAATGATATTTGACTCTTAAGTTATGCTTATGCATCAAATTCACCAGCTTGGATTTTTCTTGTGGTGAAGCTGGGAATGCACTTTCAAGTTATAACAGTTTTACTGCATAAGCTGTATCAGTGTTGAAACGAAAGGGTTATTCCAAAGAACAATGTCTAATTAATTCCAAAACATAACAAGGTTACAAAATTCTTAGCATCAAAGGCAGAAAACAAAACAAAACAAAAAGTTGAGACGATCACAGCAATTCAACTCGAAAATCACAACGAAAGTGCTGCAAGAATTGCTATGATCCCCACCGATGCTGCTTCTGCAATCCCATGCTGTTCCAGCCCCATTGCAGTAGAAGAATCAGCAGTGCTGCCGCGATCCGAGGACCCTGAAGGTGAATCAGCACCTTTAACTTTTGTTTCGGACTTAGATGGCGCAGGAGCGGGTGCTGCAGGGCCAAAAATGCTCAAAGGAAGAAGCACCTGATCGACCTCATACACAGCCAGCTGACTGTCAGTAAAAATGGTATTAGCCACGGTTGCATTCACCACTCCTGTTGTTATGTTCACTAGGTTCCCTGACGTTGTCACATTCAACGGGCTGTTCCCAGCTTGCGTGTGCAGAGGGTTGGACACGGTTTGGAATTGTGCAGCAGAGTAGAAAGATGGCAGGATATGGAACTGCACCAGCTGCAGCTTCTGCTGCTCGGAAATTGAGTTTAGCGTGCCGGCTTTGAGGCTGGAGAAGGCGTTGTCAGTTGGTGCAAAGATGGTGATCCCTTGGTTTGAGGTGCTGAGTTGGGTGTTGATTTGGTCGTCCATTTTGGTGGACTTGAGGAGCTTGATCAAAGTGGTGAATTGGCCGGCCTTCTCAAGGACAGCAGTCACGTTGGTGGCAGATGGGGCGGGGGCTGCCGCCGGAGACTGAGCTGAAATATTGGATGAAAATGAATAGAGGAAGAAGACTAGCAAAACAAAGAAAGAGTGGGGTGCCATCTTTTTCCTTCTTCCTCCTCTTTTTTTGGTGAATTTGTTTTTTTTTTTAAGTGTTTGTGACTTGGTTTTGGTGTATAAGCTGGGGAGGGGAGAGGGTATATATTTTGAAAGTGTGAGTAAATGAGAGTGGAGAATTAGGTGAAAGGGAGTGGTTTTAAGGTGGCTAGACAATGCCATCTTAACAAAATGTGCACCGTTTACTTGGCAAATAAGAGGAATAGTGAAATATGGGGAGAGAGAGAGAGAGAGAGAGAGAGATTTTGCTTGGTAGGGGAGGAAAAATAGCTGGATATGTGATTGAAGGGAGTGGGGATACAAGTGAGTGAGAATGATGGGGTTCTTTTGCTTCTGTTTGGTGCAACTTTAAACAAGAAAGCTTGCAGTTCAAGTATTTTTATTATAAGCAGTTAGGATGGGACCAATTTCTGCCATTCTTTGATTCTTGGTCACCCTTGAAATTGATATGGCATTCAAAAAAGGAAGGGGAACTGTCACTACCACAAACAAATCAATGTTGACAATAATAGTAAATCTCGGAAATTATTATTACGCTCTAAAAAATAGTTAACAGTTATTTTTTATTTTCTTTTTTTTAAATAGTGTATGATCATTATTTTAAAGTATCAATAATAGCACTTCAAATCCAGAATTTGATTATGAATTATTATGAGTGCATTAATCTTGAGTCAAATAACATGTGAAGCTTTAATTAACAATCTAAAAAGGTGAAAATCTAGAATTTCGAACTCCAACTACTAACTACTTTTCATGTTTAGCATTTGTAAAAATTTTAAGCAAACAAATGAAAAACAGTTGAGCAGGCAATTTCAACCATTTAATCTAATTTTACATATTCTCATTTCAAAAGAATAGATCCAATAACCACCAATGGGTCCGTTAATTCCAAATGTGATGTTAATGTATTATTTTATCAACTAGTGGGCTAGAAATCCAACTTTCTCCAAGTTTTAGAAGAAATTGGGCCAACCCTATCTAGGCAATGCCCAAAAGTCATAATCCAAAAAGCCTATCAATCCTTTTTCCATCATGTTTTTTTGGTAATGAAAAATTGCTCTCTCTCTGTCTCTTGTTACTTCTTGTTTCTTTTCGAAATTGGCCCAAATAGATCGCAAGATCCATGTGAAGTACATTGTTTGACGACTAATTCTAGGAGAAATTCTTGTGTTTGACGTTCAAATTAAATGGCTGAGTTTTGAACACTCATTTATTTTTGGAAAATTCTCGGTTGAAATACCCAAAATCCAGGAACACAAAGGACGACGGCGGCACCGCGACCAGCTCGCAGGAGAAGAAGACAAAATATTCTGCTAAGTTTGATGGAATATTCGTAACAGGTATCAGGTAACACCGCTAACTTTGACAGAATATACCTAACAGGTGCATGATAATGCGTGGCTAGCGTGTGGCGGCACAGTGAGCCATGTTTTTAACACTTCAACCCTCATTTTGAGCAAACAAAGAGATTTTTGAGTCTTTTCCTTAGTATTTACGTATTTTGGGTAGTTTAATGATTAGTATAGTGATTGGATGGGCTACAACCCAACTACGTATCAATGAGTGGATGGGCTTTGTTTTTGAACTTATATTACATATATAGTTTCATTGATTCACTTTGACAAATGCTTTTACATCATGCCATGCCATGCCATGTTTTTCTTGTGATTATAAGTAGAGTTTTTATCATAAATGGTCCTTGAAATTGACCCTCACCACCTTGAAATAGAAAATCAATCAATATAGTCCATGAAAATAGGTGCTGCAAATCAATATGGTCCTTCTATCACAATTCTATTAAAAATTTCGTTAAGTGCTGATGTGGCACATAAATGGGTCCCATAATCTTTTTTTCTCACAAATGGTCCTTGAAATTGACCCGTGATATCAAAATGGTCCCTAAAATTGACATGCGACATCAAAATGGTCCCTAAAAATTGAAAATTGATTAATTTAGTCCTGCAAGTAAGTGTCCCAAATCAATATAGTCATTCCGTCATAATTCTATCAAAAATTCTGTTATGTGCTGATATGACACATAAATGGATTGCACAAGTCTAATTAAATTTTAAAATTACAAATATGTTTATAATTTAATAGTTAATAAAAGGTTATGAACTCAAAAACCAAGTTCTGCAATCACCTCCAATCCCAGTCCAGATTCCTCTACCTCATTCGTTGTCTATTCTCTAAAAAAAAATACACTCATCTTTACACACTTCAACTCCCTTCACCGAATTGAACCTGGATCGATATCACCTTTGGTGATGGCTTGGCTGATTTGCAACGACTTCTAGGACATCACCGTTAACATTTAGACAATCAACATCCTCACAACCTTAATCTTAGAGAGCTTGTTCGGCGCTTCCCTAGTGGTCTTATGACTCAAAGAATGGCGAGGTCTGCCTTGAGATAATGAGGTTATAACCGAGGTGCGTCTATTGTTGGTTGAAAACTATTTACATACCCCTCTTAGGCCTTGGTTAAGTCTTATGCCTTGGAGAATTTATGGGATGGATCTCTCTTCAGAGTACATCCTACTATAAGAAGAAAAAAATTCATTGTGCAAAAAGTTTTTTAGACAACTTTTTTTAATTAATTATTAAACCCACATCCACACATAACAAATTTTTTTACAGAATTTTGATAGCACCTATTTTCAAGGACTACATTCATCGATTTTCAATTTCAATTTCAAGGACTATTTATGATAAAAACCCGTAAATCTTGTATGGCCCATTTATGTGCCACATCAGCACTTAACAGAAGTTTTAACATAATTGTGACGGAATGACCATATTGATTTAAGACATCTATTTTCAGGGACTACATTGATTGATTTTCAATTTCTGGGACCATCTTGATGGTGAAGGTCAATTTCAGGGGCCATTTGTGATAAAAACCCTTGTAAGTATTATTTGAAGATGTTGAGATTTATGAAATTATGATGGCATGATCATACATATTTTTATCTACTCATCATTGACATTGGTTTCTATAGCACCGTTACACTCACTATGGGTTCATTGTAGGTGTCAACCTGTACTAATTTCTATTAGGCAACTAGAACTCGTATGTGATGCACTTAAATGTAACTTCACGTGCATGTAGTACTTGAGCACAAATTATTACACCCAACTTGTTCCATGTAACTACTTTTTGCATGGATTTATGTGTCTGGATAATTGTGATAAGCATACTATTTTATATTGTTGAGATGATGTGGTTTACCGTACATTTGAATATTTCAATTTTCATACTATTACATAGTATGATATGAGCAAAGAATATTTATACTGCTGAGCTATTGTGGTATACCATATACTAGGAAATAATTGTTTTATATGCTACTTGGATTTTCATACTTATAAGTAGTATATTTTTTTGAAACTTTATGGGTTTTTATAGCGAGGATTTTTGGAAACTATATGGGTTTTTACAACGAGGGATTATTATGCTGAGAAAAAAACAAAGGTTTCATTATACCCTTATTTTTGCCCACTCACACTTTCTGTTTTGCACCCTCGAGGATTTAGTAGCTAGATTTCTGTTGCAAGCAAGGAATCTTGGGCGGTTCTGACATACACTCCAATAATGTAGGAATTTTTAATTTTTAATTCACATACATTGTAATAAGGTTACATCCTGCTTTTCACACTCTTGCCCTTAGTTTAAATTAGTTCTAGGCTCCGGTTTTAATTTATTCACAATTTTGCCCATCATTTTTATAATATGACTTCGTTACCTTCTAGGTGTCTGTCATACGCCTTAATTTCAATGTCCACTTAGATATCCGAATTGGGGTGTGTCACTTGTTCACTAAAATCTCTCCATTTGGTGACTTATAACCTCAACTTTGATCTTTATTTACTTCCAAGACCCAAAAAGGCCATTGTAACATCCCACATCGCCTAGGGAAATGGATCATGTAAGCCTTATATGTATATTCCCATCTCGACCTAGCACGAGGCCTTTTGGGTGCTCACTAGCTTCGGGGCACAAGGCTTTTAGGAACTCCAAAGTTAAGTGAGTTCGCACGATACCAATCCCAGGATAGGTGACCTATTAGGAAGTTCTAGTGTGAGTTCCTAGAAGCAAAACCATGAGGGCGTGGTCGGGGCCCAAAGCAGACAATATTGTGCTATGGTGGAGTCGAGCTTGAGATGTGGTGGAGGCCCGGGCCGAGATGTGACAATTTGGTATCAGAGCCAATCCCTGGCCGGAAGTGTGCCGATAAGGACGTTGGGCCCCTAAGGGGGGTGGATTGTAACATCCCACATCGCTCAGGGGAGTGGATCCTATAAGCCTCATATGTATATTCACATCTCTACCTAGCACGAGGCCTTTTGGGAGCTCACTGGCTTCAGGTTCCGTAGGAACTCCGAAGTTAAGCGAGTTCGTGCGAGAGCAATCCCATGATAGGTGACCCACTGGGAAGTTCTAGTGTGAGTTCCTAAAAGCAAAACCATGAGGGCGTGGTCGGGGCCCAAAACGGACAATATCGTGGTACGGTGAAGTCGAGCCTGGGATGTGGTGGGGACTCGGGCCGGGATGTGACAGTCATGGCATCTATGCATTATACAGCTGCACCTGCATCCGCTTCTTCAATGGTCCTAATATTTCACTTTCTTCTAACAATAATACTGGGGGTGTGATATCCACACATGCTTTACTTCTCACGCACTCTTTTAATTTTCGATCATCGGATCGGATAAATTGAAGACGATCAAATGACAAAAATTAACAAAAGATGTGTGAGAAGTAAAAAGGAGTGTGTGGATAGCACACCCCTCATTCTAAGGCTCATTCTTTTTCGAAACTTTAATCATTAAATATAAAATAATACTAGAATCATCCGAAAAATTCATTCGTAGTTTTGGAAAATTTGCAACAAGTGACGTAAACTTAAAGTAAATTTCAAAATAGAGTGACAATATTAAACTCTCTTAAGAAACCGTCACACTTGCATCACACTTGCATTTCTTGTTTAACATTCTTACTTATTAAAAAAGAATTGTTTTTTTTTAACAGGCGATAGAATCTACATTAAAGGGGTGGAAGAGTGGA